GCTTTTCTAGCTCTTATTACAGCCCAGACAGAACCTAAAACCTATGATGAGGCAGTTGGCAACCCGTTATGGCAGCAGACTATGAATGATGAAATTGCAACTTTGGAACGTAATCATACTTGATCTCTCGTTCCTCTACCACCTGGCCATAAAGCTATTGGCTGTTATTGGGTGTACAAGATTAAACACAACTCTGATGGTTCTGTTGAACGTTATAAAGCTCGACTGGTAGCAAAGGGATACACTTAGGTTGAAGGTGTTAATTATAAAGAGACATTTTCTCCTACAACGAAACTTACTACACTTCGTTGCTTACTCACTATTGTCGCTGCTCGAAAATGTTTCACTCATCAGTTGGATGTTCAAAATGCCTTTCTCCATGGTAATCTAGACAAGGAAGTCTACATGTCTTTACCACCAGGTATTCACCAACAGGGGGAGAATACAATGTGTCGGCTCCATAAATCTCTTTATGATTTAAAACATGCTTCTCGCAATTGGTTTTCCATATTCTCTACCACTATACAAAATGCAGGCTAAACTCCGTCCAAAGCAGATTACTCTTTATTACTAAGAGTAAAGATACTTCTTTCACTGCACCTCTTATCTATGTTGATGATATTCTGTTGACAGGCAATTCAACTTCTCAATACTAGTTTACTCGAGAAATTCCTTATCAAAGATTTAGGGAATTTGAAATATTTCTTAGGTATTGAATTTTCTAGGTCTAGAAAATGAATGTTTATGTCTCAAAGGAAGTATGCTCTAGACATTCTTCAAAACACAGGTCTTATAGGAGCACGTCTAGAAAAATTTCCTATGGAGAAAAATCTGAAACTTTCTTTAACAGAAGGAGAAAAGTTGAATGATCCAAGTAAATACAGACGATTGGTCGGTAGATTAATACATTTAACCGTTACTAGGCCTGACATAGTGTATTCAGTTCGTATGCTTAGTCAATTTATGCATGAACCAAGAAAACCACGTTGGGAGGTAGCTCTTCGAGTTATGAGATACATCAAAGGTACTTCTAGTCAAGGACTTCTACTGCCATTTGAAAATAACTTAAGATTACAAGCATATTGCGATTCAGACTGGGGTGGTTGTCGAACTTCCAGACGGTCTATTTCTGGGTTTTGCATTTTCCTTGGAAATTTAATTATTCCTTGGAAGTCTAAAAAACAAATCAATGTGTCCAGATCATCAGCAGAAGCCGAGTATCGAACTATGACAAATACTTGTTTAGAGTTAACTTGGTTAAGATTATCAAGCAGTCAATCCAGTTTATCAACATTATTGTATTGTGATAATCAAGCAGCATTACACATAGCAGTCAATCCAGTTTTTCACGAACGTACGAAACACATTGAAATAGATTGTCATATAGTTCAAAAAAAATTACAAGCTGGAATCAGTTATGGGAAGACATCAATTTGATTTTTTGAAAGGTAAATTGGGTGTGATTATCATATACTCTCCAACTTGGGAGTATTGGGATATAATATTTGAAATATATATTATTTACGGAATATATCTTAAACATTATATCTTAATATTCTTTCTTTATGATTTGATTTATAGTATATTTTATTTTATTCTCAATATTTAATTAGTTTATATTTTTTTATGGTAGGTATTAGTTGGTAGCTTGTATCTTATTTAAACCTTATAATATCAATGAGAATACACACCTTCGATTCCAATTTTATTTCTATTTCTCATTCTTAACATCCATATATGTGTGTATATATACACGTCCCTTAAAATTATTTTTTTGGATAAGATATTTTGGATAGTTGTCAAAATTAAAAGTTATTTTAGTTATTTTGATGAATTTTTAAATACACTTTTTAATGACTTGATATCGACTCATCTTTTGTTCATTTGTCTCATTAAATTTCTATAGGGACAAACGTTCAAAGTCATATATAATAGATTAAAGTTTGATGTAACAGCTCAACCATTGCTAGCAGATATTATCCGTTTTGGCCTGCTACGTATAGTCGTTAGTCTCAGTTTTAAAATGAGTTTATTAGAAGGAGGTTTTCACACTATTATAAAAAAATATTTTGTTTCCTCTCCAACTAAAATGGGATCTCACCCGGAAGTTCTAAATGAGTTTGAGTTTATTTTTCCATTATTAATGAAAAAAGTTTATATTAAAAAAAATAGTATTTTTTTTTTAGTTATTCGTTTGGTTTATAGATTTTTAGACTAGCTAATTTAGCTCTTACATTTTAAAAGGTTTTCAATATATTTTACCCGGCTAAATTAATAAAAATATTTATAAACTTTGTATTTTGTCTCAAAAATACCTTTAATTTTTTTAAAGTTTTAATAATGCCCTTTGAACTTTTAAAAAGATCTAATATTTTATACCGTCAATTTTAAATGAAAAGAGTTAGTCCTTTCAATAATATGGAGACAACAAAGAGTAGTTTATTCGAGCAAAATTTGAGTAATCAACTTTTGGACGTAAGAAATATTTTATCCAAAATTGGGATGTCATGGAAGAAGATGGTAGGGTCTTCATTAGTCGATTGGTCGGGTTCATTAGTTAGATTGATTGGGTTAGGTCTGATTGAGACATTTAGACTCAATTTAATTATTTGGGTTGTAAATTGTTTCAATGTTTGGAACTCAAGTAAGAAGTAGAGTCTTCATCAGCCAGATTAGTCGGTTCATCCGTCAAATTGGTTCAGATTAGCTCTGATCGATACATTTTTTAAGACCCAATTCAATTATTCAGATCGCAAATTTTTTCAACTTCAAAAAACCTTTATTAAATAATGAAATCAACCTAACTCTAAAATAGTTGGATGGTTAAAAGTAAAATATCTTAAATTAAGATTTGCAACTAGAATAAATAATAATAATAAATTATGAAATTAAATAAAATTAATAAATATGTTATATAATTGCATGTGTAAGTAATTTTTTTTTAAAATTAATAATGAATTCAGGTGGGTTTCGTTCAAACTCAAACTAATTTAAAGAATCATCAATCTAATTCATAAAATTTTTATTTATTTGAATTCAATTCTATTCAAATACGCTAATAATTCAATCAAAATCGCGGGGATTTCAAAAGTCAACCACAAACTTTTGATCATACCATTATTTTAATTTTAATTTGTTTTTACAACTCAATTATATGTTCATGAGAGAAGGTTGCCATTTTATATTTTATTTGAATTTAATACTTGTATACATCAAAATTTTCTATTCTAATTGTGTTTGGAAAAAGAAATCATTGACCAAATTATCACTTATATTTGTATCATTATGAAAATGGTATGATATAGTATTTTACTTTAAATATTCCAAAGAGTTTTCTATTTATAATTGTTTACAACACATCCGTTGGAGAGGAGAACGAAACACCATTTACAAGGGTGTGGAAACCTCTCTAACAGACGCATTTTAAAGCCTTGAGGGGAAGTTGGAAAGGAAAAGCTCAAAGATGACAATATTTGCTAGCGATAGGCTTTGACTGTTACAAATGGTATCAAAGCTAGACATCGGGCGATGTATTAGTGAGGATGCTAAGTCCTGAAGAGGGGTTGATTTGGTGGGGTTTCCACATCGATTGGAGAAAGGAATGAGTGCCAGCGAGGACGCTAAGTCCTGAAGGAGGGGTCGTGGAGTGTGAGATTCCACATCAGTTGGGGAGGAGAACGAAACACCCAGATTTGGTGGGGCCCCACATCAATTGAAGAAAGAAACGAGTGCCAACGAGGACACTAGGAGGGGGGGGGGGGAG